ATTTCAGCCGAAGGGCCACATATTCAAAAGAATCAAAGTTCCCATAAGATGTCTTCCTGCATTGAAGGGAATCATTGAACAGAATAGCAACTCCACCCCCTTTCTTATGCATTCTTTCCTGACTCATAAAACTGAAGTTGGGAGGGGTTGATTCGATAAGAACAGCTGCACTGTTATTTTGTTCAATCCAAGTTTCCATTAAAAACATAAAATCGAGATTGTGCTCAGTGATAAAATCATTGATTAAAAATGTTTTTCCTGCCATAGACCTGACATTTAATAAAGCTAGTTTAAGTTTGTTAAACACACTATCAGTCATGTTTTTTGTAACAAGCTGTGGCTGACATGGAATCACTGCTAAATTAGATAAACTCACAGAAACGTTTGAGCGCTTCCTGTTTCTATGATTCACCGCTCTTAATCTATTACCTATCAACACAGATATCGGCAAAGCTACTGGCAGGCAGGGCCCCGACATGTCCTGGAAAGAGTTGAGAGTGCCATACGCCCTTGAGCCTGGACCCATCACATATCAGTAAGAGTTTGTTGTGTTTTGTACACACACATCCTTATCAGGCTTCGGAGACTGCAGATGCCCCCTCGAAGGGAGGGGAGGTGGTCGACGTAGGCACGGTGATGGAGACGGGCGAGATGGTGCGGGGGTAGAGGACATGCTGCCAGGTGGGGGAGGTGGTTGACGTAGGCGCGGTGATGAGGACGGGGGAGATGGTGCGCGTCTCCGCGGTGATTTTGGTGGGCGTCGTTGAGGAGCGGGGGTAAAGGACATGGTGCCAGCCCTGCGTATCGCCTTCGTTTGGTCTTTGAACTCCAGGAAGGAATCGGTGCCAACCCTCTGTATCTCCTTTGTGTGTTCATCGATCTCCAGGAGGGTGGGCGAGGGTGAAAGGGTGAACGGAGTATCCTCAAAGGCGTTGACAGGGGGGGGGGGGGGGCAGTGGAGACTCCTCCATGTGTCTCATATGTCTCCCATAATCAGAACATTCCTCAGGCGGGTGCAGTGATAATTCTTCAGGGTTTTCTGCGTGATGTGTTGTGTCTTTCTCCTGTTTTGATTCCTCTTGTTGCTTGTCCTTGGCAGAGGGAACAGATTGATGACGCAGGCAGTTGAATATGTTAGAGATAAACAATTTCACTCCTGACTTGTTCAGGCAAACTCCATTTGTCTTGAAAAGATGTCTGCGATCCCAGAAAAAGTTAAAATTGTCAATAAAATGAACAGAATGGTCAGTACAGGCCGTTGAAAGCCAGGTGTTCAGTGCAAACAATCTGCTGAATCTCTCCACTCCTCTTCTGACTGGCGGTAGAGGGCCACTGATGAACACCTCTGCATTTAGAGAGCTGGCAGTTTCCAACAAACATTTAAAGTCTTCTTTCAGCACTTCTGACTGTTGTTTCACAACATCATTTGTTCCAATGTGCAGTACCACATTCTTCACAGTCGGATGTTCATCCCCAATATGCAGGATCTTCTCAGCCAAGTCAGAGACCACATCCTTGGGAAAACAGAGTACTTTGGTGTTGTTCTTACTACACAGACCTTTTACATCTCTTACAGCAGAGTCACCCACAATCAGAGTTTCAGGCCCAGTCGTTAGCTTTCCCTCTAGCCTTTTACTTTTAGAGTAGCTATTGGTCCTTACCCTGCTGCGTGAAGAGGACAGGTTATCCAGGTCATCAGATCTCCGGTTCTCGGTCAGCGGAGCGTATCTGTTCTGGATAGGCACACTTGGTGGTTTAGGAGGATTGTTTGTAATTCTGCCTTTAGCAGCTGTCCACTGCTGTTTCCTAGTATGAATAGGGGTTGAAGAGGGGCTCTTCCTGGGTGATAACAATGCAGGCCAGCCGGTCGCATCACAGATTTCGGAGCTCTGGGCTCTGCCTGTTATCCGTCCTCCCAAATCCCATGGAAATGATTTACTCTTAGGCTTTGCACCCAGAGAGTTCCAGGGAGGACTATCACTTGTAGATTTATTACCCGGTACACAGCCCTCCTGTTCCTTGGAATCCTTGTAGCTGCTAACTAGCTGTGAGTTAGCATACCCTTCTCCATTATTTTGCAACACTGGTAAAGTCGTGTCATTCCCACAACATAGTCCATTCATTTCCACGTTAACTTCCAACCGTTGCATTTTCATTTCCAACACAGCTATCTTCTGTATAAGTTTCTGGAAGTCATCTGTAGAGAACGGAGGCATTTTGCTACCAACTAGCTAAATAGCAGTAGCCTACCAGGCTTTAGCTGTTGCTAGGCCACGCTATTGTAAGACTGACGTCGTCGTAAAAATGTTGAAATATGGCTGAAACCCTCCGTCTATTTACGAAGATGAACTGTACTTAATTATACTAATAAAGGACTGGCTTACCTAAAGCCAGTTGAGTAGCACTTGAAATGTTTGGCTCTATGAAACCTGATGTACTTATATGATTCTGTTTTCTTCAAGGTTGTGTCTTCCTGGTCGAATGTACTTATTGTAAGTCGCTTTGGATAAAAGCGTCAGCTAAATGCAATGTAATGTAATGTAATGTCAGTATTGTTTATGAAGCAGGGTATAGAAAGTACATTATTGAAATGAAAATACTATTTATTTACTTTTACAAACTGTGAGCAGCTGGGCAGCTGCAGCATGTGTATTGCAGGACATGTGTAAGCGTGCAAGCGTCTTTGATTTGTAGAAAAGCGCTAGGCCTATAGGCTATAAATATTAGTGCTGTAGCGAGGCGTCGACGACGTCGACTTCAAAATATCGTCGACGACAAATTTCCGCGTCGACGCGTCGCTACACACACGTGGGTCATCCAAAGCAACAAGCAGTTCGCAATCGCACTTCAAACACAATGGAGACTGAAACGGCTACCACCTCCTCCTCACAGGATTGCGCACGAAGCCCCCAAACGAAAACATCTCGCCCTAGGTCTTCAAAAGCATGGGAATATTTTAAAGTTAGTCCAAAACGCAAAGATATTGTCATTTGCAGTCTTTGCCAAATGGAGTTGGCATATCACACAAGCACAACGGCTATGTTGGAACATTTAAAGCGGAGGCACCCCATTGTCTCTCGTGGAGGGAACAATGATAAGTAAGTACTAACTTTGGCTAAATTAATTCCACGTTTGTGTAGTGTGTTGTGCAGCTTGAGTTCTGTGCACTTCGGTAGTGCTAACTATCTTATTGCTCTCCGTGCGGTTTGTTCGTGCTTGGTTGGTTACGGTTAGTAGTTAATGTTAGCTACCTAGCTAGCGGCGCCAGCTGTGTGTCAGTTAACGTTTGTCAGCATTTAATGTTGGCTGGAATGGTAGCTAGTTTACGTCTGCAGATTGTCAACTAATGGAGCCAAGCAATGTCCAGGCCAGGGCTGCACGTAAGCTGGTGCGCAGTTGTCATGAATGAATTAAAAACATTAAAATGACCACCAGCACATCCAAGTGTGATAGGGCTCATGAGTTGCACTTGCACTACCAAACATTTTCACTGTGTAGATATAGTACTCTACAAGCTTTTAGATAAACATGAAATGCATTGTTGGACTTAACATTGTTTAAAAAGTAACCACGTGGTACGTGTTGTGATTACTGTATTTGCTTCCCCTGTCGCGAGTCCGGATCACTCAGTGATGATACTATATACCTACATAATCTGTGGAGTCTCAGCTTTAATCGGATATATTGTATGTGCAGCTACGATAAGTAATAAGGGTACTTTTATCTTGAGTTCTGTGCCAATGTCCGTTAGCATTTTTCGCTCAGGGGTCATTTAGATGCTTCTTATGAGACTTGTGTTTTGTTTTGGTAAAAATGGTTTGTATCGTCAGTTAGCTGAGATTATTTCCGTTAATCTGGTATAACACATTAATAGGTTCTTAAATATTAAGATCCCCTGAGACACAGTATCGTGAAAAAAAGAATGTTACATTACGTTTTTTTTACATTACGTTTTTTATGAATTGAACAACAGAAAAATAATCGTTAGATTAGTCGACTAATCGATCAAATAATCGCCCAATTAATCGTTTTCAAAATAATAGTTTCCCCCCAGCACTAATAAATATAATGTATTATTATTATTAGGTTATACACGTATGTGTTGGACATGTGTGGTTGGACTCTGTCTCACAGGCAGGTTGCAGTGTAACATCAGAGGAGACTGGGCCAATTGTACATTCTCAAACTGCACCTTTATTCAATAACCGTAAGAAATTAAAAAGTATGAAGTGATTTGTAAATAGGAATACAGATTGGACTTAATGTTTTCATAAATATATTTTTCTCCCTGTTTGTCATGGGACTTATTTTTACCCTCTCAAAGAACCGGAATTGAGAACCAAAAATATCCGGAATCGAAAAGCAGAACCGGAATCGTTAAAATCCAAACTATACCCAACCCTATGTGTGATGCAGTAAAATCTTACCGCTCACTTACGTTAGCGGTGTCATAAAAACCGTGGGAAAATGTAAAATACGATGACGAAGAAGAAGATTCCAGTGGCCCCAATTTTTGTCCATTTTGGACAAGTGAAAAATGTATTCGGACAAGTAAATTGCCAAACTCACTTGTCCATGGACAAATACTCTAAAAACTTTTTCTCACACTGACATTAGCATAAAGCATATTTGTCCACTCATATGTTGATAAGAGTATTAAAAACTTGAAAAATATTCCTCTAAGGAACATTTAGAACAGATAAAAAATGTGCGATTAAATATTTTAATCGACTGACAGCCCTAATTTTTACAAACTACACAATTCCTCTCTGATCGTTTGTATTTTTTCTATGAGCAGCGGCGTAAGAGCTTTATCTTAACATCACTAGAATTTGATCACAACAATAGCATGGATACAATTGAGTCCTCTTCTCACTTTCACTTATTTCATAATAACACATTTTGCATTCTGAATCAGGTAAATACAACATCGTAGTTTCTAAATTGTTGTATACGTGATGTTTGATTATTTTTGTTGGTTTGTCGTTCTTGATTTTCAGATTTGCCAAGCAGATTGAAAACCTCCGATGCAGTGGACCTGTAAGTTCTGCTAATTTTGCTCTGAAAAAAGAGGCTTTTTACTTAGGCATTACCGCCTCAAACATGGCTGCCATACTAGGACATCACCACTCCCATGCCTCCATAAGGAATGCCTTTGCACGTTTAAATCTTTTAATGCACTCAAGGTTCACTTATCAACATGGCACACTCTTAAGGATATCGAGAAAGTGAGTGAAACAGCGTTCCACTGTCAGGTATGCGACTTTATAGAGCCTTGCAGTCAAGCAGACTTTTTCACACATTTGCGAGAACATTTGAAGTTGAAGCAAAAGGTGACTTGTCCATATCAAGGCTGTAACTTTCAGAGCAATGTTTATTCCACCTTTAATTCACACAAAAGCAAAGAACATCAGATGTCTTCCTAATGTGCTGGTTTTCCATCTCCTACCCCACCCCCTTCTCTACTTTTTCAGGTATTTGCCGAATTTAATGGCGTTACCAGTAGGAGCCTTGAGGCAGACTTCTTTGAGGCTCTGGACCAGCACACCCCACGTTTCATCCAACTGTTCAAATCAAAGAAAGGATCGGTTGGACAGAAACTGACAGAGTTGATGCAGAGCATCAACTGGGTGGTAAGTAATATAACTTAGCAACTTTTTGTCACTTGTCATTGATGACGATATGGTACAACTTCAAAAGCCTTCTAAAAATAATTAAAACAACCCCTCAAAAAGATGGAAAAGGCCAACATTGTTCATCTTGTGACTTTGTAATTTAACCTAATCTTTGTCTTCTTTATCTCTATCATTAGATACCAGACGTGACTGAACAGCGCTCTGTTGTCCTCAAAGGGATTGCGATTGTTCTTGGCGACGACTCCAACGATTTCTTCGTTGGAGTCAGTCGGACGGACAACCCCCACCCCCAAAACGAAAACTCTTCGGTTCTCCACGAATTACACAAGTCACCCAAATCAGCTTTAAAAAACCGGGAGGCGCCGAAACGCGCCTAATTTGCATCACTGATATACTGTTAGGTTAGCCAATCTCCATTTAGCAAACACACATTTTAAAAGCTTTTCGCCTGCCGTCTGTCTGCAGACTTGTCAAAGCATTAATTCATGGTTTTTACTAACCGGTATCAGTATGTTGTTACTTCGGCATCATTTTTTAAACGTGTATTACAATTAATTCACGGTCAAATATGTTCATTTTGTTGTAGTTGTAGCCCCCTTGCCAGCGATTCTCTCTCTCTAGTTTAGCATACTCAGCCCAACTCAGCTTGGTTGTTGGCCCGCTAAGAACCTTGATTTTATGGGGCCAGAAAAACTGTGAAATAGTACCCGCTAGCCGGTCCTACGCCAAGTGGGAACCAAAAACGGCACGCTTAAACCGCGCTGTAGTGGAAATGCGCCAGTCTGCACCGAGGCCGGGCCGGAGGGTCACTCCTCAAGCTCCCTGTCCCGCACCGCAACCCGCTAGGAGTATACTGACTGGCGCTCACACGTTGTGAAGTGTAACTTCATTAATGACATTAATAATTAAGTTACTCACGTGCTAGTCTTTGTTCAATGCCTTCTAAACAGAACCTCAACTTATACAAAAAGCACTTTTATGCAGTTAAATCAAGTCAGCCCTCGTCTATCTCCGTTTATTAAATGTTGACACTCTTAAGACTACCTCCTGGGCCAAGCTGCAACAGGATTTCGCCACATTATGTCCGCAATAGTTAAGATAGCATTAGCTAACGTTAGCTAATGTTAAGCTAATGCTAATGTCATCTTAACTAGCAAGCATATACACCTTGAGATTAAATACAACAAGACAGCAAAAACGGTCGGTTGGGATGTTAATATGTACTCACCAAAGCAGTGTGCTCAGCAAAATATTCACTGTAATGCTGAGTGCGACAATGAGAATGACCATAGCCGGTGGGGGGACGTCCATCTGCTGCAGGGCTTGTTGCACATGTTCCAGAAAGTTCCAGAAAGTAAATGAGCGCCAAGTGGTTAAGGAGTGATCTGCGCATGTCCTAATGTTGAAAAAAAAATAACCGTGTCCACTAACTTAGTTTTTTAAAATTAGCTCACATCAATTACATTGAGTTAGGTAGATTTTTCGACCACGTATTACAGGTTACTTATTTAAACTGAGTGTTAATACAAAATAAAATAAGTAAGGCTTACTTATTAATTCTTATGACGATGACTTACACGATGTTAGGTTTTACAGTGTGTCCTATAATATGAATTGGAATTATTTCATACCTGTTTTTCATTTATTCCCTTATTTTGTATTTCTTAAATGATCATATAAAGGGGTGCCTTGGAAATACTTGTTTACATAAATAGTGATTAAACAGTTTGAGACCCACTAATTATTACTTAGACTAAAGTTAACTATCTAAACACTCAGAGAGTCCTTTACCTCACCTGAGCTGAGGTTATCTGAGACTCTCCCCCACCTTGTTGTAGAAACAGCTCCTTATGTCCATTTGCTTAGCTAGCTAACCAGATGCTAACAACAACAATCCCCGGTGCGTTCTCTCTCTCTCTCGCTCGCTCACTCACTCACTCACAATGCGCTCATGCCACACACAGAGAGCCGAGCTTGAATGACACACAGAGACCAGAATGACGTGTTGTATCATATTATAATTTCGATGGCTTTATTGTATGATCAGTATGACAGATGAACAGATCGTCCCGGGTGTTTCTCAATGTCAAGGAAGTCCTTCGTTGCGGGAAATTTCGAGGATGCACATGTGTATCCTCCGCGGTCTTAAAATCCCCACAATGCTTTGCGCACGGACCAATTTCCAAAATCTTTGGCGGAAAATGGCTGAAGTGAAGCAGTACACATTTAAATGTAAGTAGGCTATGGCGTAGAAAATGTGCACATGACTTGTGTTTAAAGTTTACAGTCCGTTTGAGTTTTGCCCGTGTGAACGCAAACCGAACCTTCTGAAAAATGAAACAATGGAACAAACTCGTCTGGTGCGCATCAGAGAAGCGGACTATTAGGTTTGAATGAGACCTTTGAGCGTTTTGCACCTAAATAAATAATTAAAATGAACCTTGTTTTGACTTTGCCTCTTTAGTTGATATTTGTGGTTTATGCTACAATGTGCACCAATATTATGGAACAGTCCTTCGGCGGGACTCGATGACGTGTATCCTTGAAATAGTGGCTCTGGAGGATCCTTCCTTGACATTGAGAAACACCCAGTGTACTGTACGTCTGTCTCTATCTCTCTCTGTCTATGTCTCTCTGTCTATGTCTCTCTCTATTTATTTAGCTAAAATGGTAATCCAACTTCACCAGCTATATCATAATGAGACCTTGCTGGTGTACCAGCTTCACCAGCAAGGCCATGCTGGTGTACCAGCTTTCCCATGCTGGTCTTGCTGGTTTACGAGCATGGTCTGGTGAAGCTTCACCAGCAAAAACCAGCATAGACCAGCATGAATTCTATGTTGGTTTTTTCAGCCGGGTGGAGAGAGAAAATAAATCTAGTTTCAGCTTTTAATGCATTTTACAACTTTAAGGACTTAATGATTCTAATAAGAGCTATAAGATAGTTTATTTCGTTTTTTTAAAAAGGTATCCGATGATTTACAGACGTCTCTTTCCCATATACATATTTCTGGGCCGGGTGACGTCGCGGACTGACACGGAAATTGTAGTACCGCCGTTTGGACATCCATGGTTTGGACGGTTTGGACCATGGATGTATAAAAAGAACGGTTTGGACGCGGCCTTCTTTTCCCAGATTTCAGGGATACATCTGATGTATCCTCTGTGGCAGGCGCGCCAGATTCATTTTAGAAGTGGGGGGGCCAAAAAAAGTGCGTGTGTATGGCCCAATCCCAAACCACGCCCTACACCTACACACTCCCCCTCCGTGACGGAGTGAACTCCGTGGAGTGACACATGAGGCTCCCTCCTGTCAGATGGAGGGAGTAAATACAGCAGCAAGCTTTGGGACAAACTCCCCTCTCTCCGGCAGAAACAGGAAATGCCGTAACTGTATGTAGGCCTAACAGCGGTTTCAAATCAGCATCTCTTTGACAAAAAATGTAAATGAATAACTCAAATAAAACTCCAAACATCTTTAATTGTGTTACTTTTTTGTAAAGCTCTTTTAGTTTTAAACCTGATGTTTATAAGCTTCTTAGTTTTTGCAATAGTCTGTAAATATACACAACTTTATAATAAAATGCACACATTTACCTTTTTCTAGACTAAACACAGGTATGATCCTAAGTTAAAAAAAATATGAGGTTATCATGAGGTTGTTAACATCGCAATGTATCACTATCGTTTAGTGGTTTTGCAAAGAACGAACCACTCTCTGTTTTTGTACCATTCTGCGTTGAAGTACCTTCTCTTTGCTCAAATAATCTACTAGCGGTCTCCTTTTTTCCGATAGTTAGCTGTACAGCTTTACCCGCCTCCGGAGATGTGGATGTCAGGAATGTGACCTTCCAGTTGTTAAATTTAAGTTTAGATTGACTGTATTTAGTTCTGCGCTGGTTCTTCTGACATGTTTGCAAGTGTATATATTATTTCTAGGTTAACGGCTGACACACACAGAACAACGTAACAAATAAAGTAACAAATAAATAAATCTAAGCTTTTTTATTGGTTGTAATTTACATGGATACATTTGAAGGGTGTGACAATGTCCTATTTGATTGGGTTAAAATGTACATATTCTTCCTGTTATGTCTGCCTGCTTTATTGTACCTAATGCAAAGTGACCTGCTCCATCGAAATCAGTCGCATTGACCCGAAGACACATTTTGATTCCTAGCTTTCTAATGATATCAGGATTGTTTTTGTACTCCAAATATTAAGCAAAATATGTCACATTATATAATGACTGTTACAGAGTCATCATTTTGAGAAAAAGGCCTTTAAAGTTTTCTCTTCTCTGGAATCCATCATTTCTCATCATCAATCATCATGATTGATTATTAGCGGAGCAAATTATCAAAATACTACGGAGGGAAGATATTTTCGTTTGGATTACTGCACTCACGAGAAACACCGGCTGTTGTTATGCCTGCTGTGACGTTAAGCTACTCCGTTCTCCGCTTGTAATCATGCCGAAGCTTCAAAGTTGTATTTATCATCTGAATTTGCCGAAACAAGTTTAATATTCTGAAAGCCAAGACTTTGCTTATTTGAAATCAGATAAAAACAAACTGTAACGGGCCCTGCCGTGTTATCTATGATTACTCTACACCTTACATTCATAATTTCATCGGGAGGGAGGGGGGGCGGCGCTGAGGAACAGCAGAGTGGCGAGAGCTGTCATCTTCCCTTTACAAGCTTCAAACATGCCTGTAGCTAGTGAGATTGAATATAACAATCAAAAATAACAAAATATACACAGCTAGATCAGATCACGTTTTAGATGCGACTTTAGAGTAGAGGGGAATTATTGAAACGGGATTTGTACAGTTTTCCACGGCACAGTTTCATGGAAACATATCAGCTTTTGGACGACAGTCAATATGACTGGCGCAGACTGAAAACTCATCTCTTTCGACTCCACCTCGAGCAATAGAATTACTAACAAAGCACTTATATACTAATAAAGGACTGGCTTATCTAAAGCCAGTTGAGTAGCACTTGAAATGTTTGGCTCTATGAAACCTGATGTACTTATATGATTCTGTTTTCTTCAAGGTTGTGTCTTCCTGGTCGAATGTACTTATTGTAAGTCGCTTTGGATAAAAGCGTCAGCTAATGCAATGTAATATGGATTCAGGAAAGATAGATCAACATATATGGCACTAATGGAATTAAGTGAGGAAATAGCAAACTGCATGGACAATAAAAAACAAGCAGTGGGAATATTTATAGACTTACAAAAAGCATTTGACACCATCACAATATTTTACTGATAAAACTGGAACGGTATGGCATCAGAGGGGTGGGATTAAACTGGGTGAGAGATTATTTAAGCAACAGACAACAATTTGTTGAAATTGGTGAACATAAATCAGAATACATGAACATAAATTGTGGAGTACCTCAGGGGTCCGTGTTGGGTCCAAAGCTGTTCATAATATACATCAACGACATTTGCAGAGTATCAAATATATTGAAATTTATTTTATTTGCAGATGACACTAATATTTTTTGTTCCGGTGACAATTTGAAAGAGCTAATGGAAGTGATTACAGCAGAAATGATTAAAGTAAAACATTGGTTTGACACAAACAAATTATCATTAAATATAAGCAAAACAAAGATTATGTTATTTGGAAAACATAAAACAAATCCACAGATGCAATTAATACTAGATAACACATAGAAAGAGTATATCAAATGAAGTTCCTTGGTGTGGTTTTAGACCACAACATCAGCTGGAAACCTCATATCACTCATGTAAAAGCAAAACTGGCTAAAACTATCGCAATATTGGGAAAAGCCAGATACATTCTGGACTACAACTTATTGTATACTCTATATAACACACTAATATTGCCATATCTGATTTACTGTGTGGAGATTTGGGGAAACACGTACAAAACCAACCTACAGCCGTTATGAACATTACAAAAAAGGGCTATAAGAGTTATGAATAATGTTGGATATCTTGAACACACTAATGTATTATTTTTGAAGTCACACATATTGAAGTTCATTGATCTGGTTAAATTTAAAACGGCACAAATCATGTACAGAGCCAGACATAATCTACTTCCTAGGAAATTAAAAACATTGTTCGTAGACAGAGAGGGTGGGTATAATTTGAGAGGAAATCTACATTTGAAACAACTCAAGGTCAGAACAACTCTGAGAAGTATGAGTTTAACAATCTGTGGGGTGATTTTATGGAATGGTTTGGAGCAGGAGTTCAAACAAAGCACAAGCATCATTCAGTTTAAAAGGATGTACAGAAACACTTTTTTGGAAAAATATGAGAATGAAGAAAGGTGATTGAAGATGAGAAATGATTGTATATGTATAAATGTAAATGTATGTAGGAATAACTTGCATAATGATTTAAAGGACAATCATTGATCAAGTAACGGGTGGGAATTAATAAGCATTTGCTTCCTCCTACTCCTTTCGGACACATATGATTTATTATCATTATTATTAATATGAAGACTTTTTTGTTTTTTTTGTTGAATATACAAATATTACCATGAATGTGGATAAATACTGTATTATAACAATACGGTATTCTGTTTTTCACATTTGTTATTTTTTAATCTGTTCGAAATAAAGACTGAAAAAAATAAAAATAAATCTGCTGCTGCGAAAATGTGGGGCAGGGCTGAAAAGTGTCAATGGCCCCCCCGCTTCCGGCGCTCTTGCTCTGTGGTCTACCATATCCCAGGGTGCAACACACTCTCACTCCCTAAACATCCAGGAGCGACGCTTGGTCAGGGTCCCGTGGCGTGCAGTTGGGACGCGCCGAGGCTACTTCAGCTTCATAAACAGACGCAAAGAGCTTTCAACTGATTGCAATGTATTCCCATCGGCGGCGGTATTTGACGCTCATGGAAGCACCGCACCCGTTTATGTCGGCAGCTCTTAAAAGCAATGTGAGCGTCCATTCCCATTGGATAACGGAGAATTGTACACCCGGAAGTAAGTATTCTCCTTACTGTCGATTGATTTGACGGTGATATCTGCACTACTCATCGACTCAAACACACCAGATTACCTTTGTTAATTAAACGACATTGATTTACAATGCTTTTGTGTTTCATGTATTCTATTATGAGAAGTTTCATCATTGAGACAAAGGAAATCAATCGTGCCATTTAACATCAACAGCAGTAAGCTATAATCATTAAATATCTATTAAAAGAAAGGATACAGAAAAAAATCTAATTCTGAAACTAAGACACAGAAGATAAAATATAGATAAATATAAACAAACACAATTTAGATTAAGTAATATAATCTTAATTGTAGATTAAATCTAGACAGTATTGCAAATACATTAACTGTTAACAGCAATGTAATAATACAGTATTCAAAATGAGATGTTATATATGGCACACAGATGAAATATGTTCATTTGAAGTAAAAGTACGTAAGGCTAAAGTGGCAGCAGTGTTGAGCTCTCCAGTTCTGCACTCATATGTCTGTAGGACGGCAGTAAGCAGAGGTTTGGGTGGAGGATGCTCCTGATCGCCGTTTTGCTTTCTCCAGCACCACGGGGGGTCCAGGTAGATGGCAGCTCTGTCCTACTGATCTGACGTGCACCTTTCAGATCTATTTCTCCAGCATTGTCCTAATCACAGAGAAAGGGAAGAGGAAAAGAAGAATGAATTGATCACATTAAACACAGGGTTGCAAAACTATTATTGCAAAATGTAACTAAGCATTTCAGACGAACAATCCCTAAAGGATTATTTAAAATGATGCACTGTTTTGGTAAAGATATGAAGTGACTGTCACCCCTTTGACAGCACTGCAAAAACAAACATCAAGCAAAAGGCTGATGTCCGTTTGTGATTGTTTTATTATTATGGGATTAGGATAAATTAAAGAGTTTCATATCTGGATGAATGGAGGATATGGTTTCAGTACTCACAGGTCTTCTGGATCGTGGCTCTGATCGTCTTTCCTCTGATCCTGTAGAGATGAACACAATCCAACAGTTTGAGATCCAGTTTAAAATAAGAGTTTGTTCTTTGAGTCAGCTTCAGTCCTGGGGCCTCGTTTATAAAGGGGTATACGCTCAAAAAATGGCGTACGCCAGTTTCTACGCAATGTTTGCGATTTATAAAATACTAACTTGACGGGAAAACGTGCGGGGGTTGAGACGCACAGGCTGCAGTGGAGACGCTGCGCACAGCTGATCGACAGCTGGAACACAAACCACCAAATACGAAAACATAATTCAGATCCAGTCGTCATGACTCCACTCCGGAGGGATTCCCCGATCATTTCTTACAGTCTCTCATCAAGGGGGGGTTTCCTGTCCCCGGTACAAACACACTGCCTGAGGAAGGCTATGTGTATTGTTTTTGTCATTAACCTTTTTCGGACCACTTATTTATTTACTTTGGTGACGATCCGACCTCCATGCTGCTACTCTGGTTCAAACTGCATCCACCAAACAATATGATTTATCTCGACCTCCCCAAAATAACCAAAATCTGACACGGTGTGAGATGTCTTTTTTAGCTGTTCTGTCGTCATTTCCTGCGATCTTCATGCAGTCAGTCAGAATGAATGGGCGTTTCTTTGACTATTTATAGGCAAATATGGGCGTTACGTGAAGCCCGCAAAAGCTGCACCGCATTTCGAGTCGATTGTGATTTATAAAGGGAAACAGGCGTAGGAAGTGCTGTACGCACTTTCCTCGCCGGTACGCAATGTTTGGTGAATCGGAAAATTTCTGTACCTATTTTTTGGATTTCTACTACGTAAGCAACCTTCCCACGTGAATCCTATGCACGGCGTTAGAAATGAGGCCCCTGATCTCATGCTTTACATCCCATCATATCTTCTCTGCAAACACTATGGCTGCTTCTCAGGTCGACTATTTTCATTTCCTCGCTCCTCGGTCCTCGGTCTCACCGGAAGTTGATTTGCCTGCGCCATCTTGAGTACCGTCCCATGGCTCTTATTTCTGCCGGAGGATCGAGGAGCGATAATGGAGGAGCGATAATCGAGGAACCACCAGACCATCCTCCGATGAAATCCTCAGATACTCGCCCCGCACGATACATGATTTTGTTGTGCAATAAAACAACCCGATGGACACACGATAAAGGAAATGTTCAAATTCGGCTCTAATCGTAGCAACATCGCGCCATTCGTGAGAGCATCTAAGCCAGGGGTACTCAAATACAAATCTTAAAGGTCCAAAATAAATGTTTCAATAAGACAAAGGTCCGTTTATTACGGTCATTCAAACTTTTAAACAATTGCAACAAGATTCTTAACACGAGGTTGCAAAAACAAAAATAATCTGTATGCAGCAGTTTTCATTGTTATTGTTTCTGTGTTTGACCCCTCAGAGTCGCAGTGTAAGAGCTGCACAGTTATGAATAAAGGCAGCTGCACCCTCTTTCATTCAGCATTCCCATTATTGCTTTATAAATGTCTTGCCCCCTTGTGTGTCCACTGAGGTTCGTCAGGCCCAACACATCTTCAACAAACTCCCCCTTTGCCTCATCATAAAAACTCACAAACACCAGCAACTGAGCATTGTCAGTGGTGTCAGTGGACTCACACACAGCTAAGGAAATGCACTGTGCATTTTTTATTCCATCACAAAGCTGATTAATCAAATCACCAGCCAGTATGTATGTTCTTCTGGTTGCTGTGGAATCTGAGAGGGGGATTTGCTTGATTTGACCTGTTATTTCCTCTTTTTGTTTGCGTTCAACATGGTCTCCATCACTTCAGTCATGCATTATTTTATACTGCAGTTATTATCCAGTGGAAAGCCCTTACCTACTGGCCTAGTTAAATCAAAGTGGTTACTTTTTTTTGGCTGGGCAGTGAAGTTTTCCACACCGTCTTATTTGACTTTCTCAGGACTTAAAACTGTTTTTTGGGGGCAGACCCCCTCAAAGAAAACAATATATTTACACACGTAAGGTCATCATCTTAAAGGTGGGGTAGGTAAGTTTGAGAAACCGGCTCGAGATACACTTTTTGTTATATTCCATGGAATGCTCTTAACATCCCGATAGCAATGAATATCTGACGTTTTGACAACAAATCCATAAAAAAATGTCATCTGTGGAAGCCGTAATACTGTAAAAAGTACAACCAATCCGTTTAGCCGGCCCGGCTAAACGGATTGGATTGCCGCCCTGTCTGTCAGCCTTCCATCTCGTGCACGCACAAATGTATCTCGTGCCCTCATTGGGCGTGCATTGCAGCAGTACTTCAATGACTCGCCAGGCGGCCACTTTCACCAGTCTGCAGACGTCATGTGCGCGTTCATGTGTGTTGGAGGAGGTGCTCTGCTCTGTAAGGAATTATTTTCGGCTGTGTATTTTCACATTGTAGTGCACTCGAGCCGGTTTCTGAAACTTACCTACCCCACCTTTAATAGTTGTGTATGCTCATCCGTGAGCAGAGCATCAAGTTGACATGTCTATTACAGCTGAATGCGGCGATTACCATTTTGTTCAGCAAAACGCCTCACAAACGTATTAAGATAAACAGCTTTAGTGCGTTTTGATTCAATGCTGAGTGCAACCACACTGACAGTCTCTTCTCTGTCATTGTAGACCGCAAATACCTCATTCCTTCAGTGCTTGGGTCAGAATGCTTCTCGTTTTGCGCCGTCCAGTTCAAAATGAAATCGCCGCCAATCGTATGTCCACGCTCGCGCCAGGACCGGGGGACGTGCATGACGTGCATCTTGTGCTGCATTCACTTGCACTCGGACATTAGAGACTTTCTCTCATAAATGTCCGATGAGCCACAACTTTTCTTTCAAAACAAAGCTGCCAACTGGGGTGGCAGCTGGGGTGGCAAGGCCTATTTTTAGGGTGTCAGTTGCCACCCCGGTAGGTGAAACTAGGCTACTAGCTACAGTACAGATGGAACTAGATGAGCTGTTAACTCTCGCTCTGAATTTTGTTTTTTTTAATTCTCGCTCTGACTTAGACAGGTTGAAAGAGACACACACATTTTTCCTACCCGCATTCCGCGAAGACCCGCCCTACTGTGCCTCTGATTCGCAGATTGTTTGGGGGGAAAAAACGCTGACTGGATGCTGAATGTGATTGGACCAAAGCGTTGACACACACAGGTGGAACACAGTGGAACAGTCAGACATGCAGAGCGCTGTTTGCAGTGGACATAGCGGAGAATTTTGACTCGTTGCGAATGCGTTGTGGCGATGTCTCACATATAATACAGAGAGATAATACATATGAAAAGTATAATTTGCTCAGAGTCCGGAGACAGTGGTGGTTCGGTCCGGATCCGGACCGGAGTCCGTAGTTTGAGGATGCCTGATCTAAGCCATCGTATGACCGTCGGTGGAGTTTCTCAGGCTCCGGCAGCAACTTCGTGAGCGGCAACTTCGTAAGGCACTCGTGAGGGCATCTTGTCGAATCGTGTCATCTTCGTGTTATCATCGGTGCCATCGGGCATTCGCCCTCACTCTGATCGGGGTGAATGCCCGATGGCACCGATGATAACAAGACATGCCCTCACGATGGCCTTACGAAGGGCAAAATTGACACACAAATTCAACACGAAAATGAACCTTCTCAAGGTCCTTCGGCAATTTTTTGGCATGCCAAAGATTTTGCCACCGCTCACGAAGTTGCTGCCGGAGCCTGAGAAACTCCACCAGCGATCATACTGTACGATGGCTTAGATGCCCTCACGAATGGCCCGATGTTGCTACGATCACAGCGGAATTTGAACATTTCCTTTATCGTGTGTCCATCGTTTTTTTTTATTGCACAACAAAATCATGTAAATATATTATGTAAATAACCCAATTTGTGTTCTGTGAAACTGAAAAGGATATAATATATTATTTTGAAGGCGAGTTGACAGGAAGTTGTTGTTGCTATGGAAACAACAACATGACGGAGAAAACGTAATATTTTCTACATATAAAGACGGATAAAGTAAAGAACAAAGTCTGAAGATATCAGTACAGTATCATAGTACTGTAACATAATTGTTTTTGTTACTTTCATTGCAGTTGTATGTCTTAAATGTAATGTAAATGTTGCCTTCGTGTGTGGTTCGGGGCCATCTTCGTGCGAAATTCACAATTCCATATTCGTGTGTCCATCGGGTGTCAACTTCCGGACAGTGTGACAGGGGCTTAAGGGAGGGTCTTTCAGTTCCTTGAGTTTGTCCGTTAGCTGTCTCTCCAAAGTCTCCAGATGTCTTTCCTTTTCCTTAGCAGCTCTTCCAAGGCCATTGGGCTTGGAGATGAAGCTTAGTTTTCTTTGTATGCAACTGTGTACTTCTACTCCACTACAGTTCAGAGGTACATGGTGTACTTCTACTCCACTACATGTATTTAATACCTTTAGTTACTTCCCAGATGTGGATGAATGATGTGAAATATAATCAAGTGTTAAATCAGACTTTAGTTCCACCTGGAGTAAATCCACAAGCTACCCTGCAGTATACAAAGTAATTCAGACTAGCTGCACCTTTACCAGCTTTGAGAACACTTTCATGATCAATCATTATAAAACATTATAAAACATTTCATATATATTATTCTGAAGTGGAGCCTCAGTGACCTTTGAGATATCACCCTCTTTCAATCCCAAGAAAACATTCCTCCTCAAAGACACATTCACCTCCGACAGACTTTCACTTGTGGACTAGAGTTATCCTGTGGATGAACTCAAGAAACACTATCTCCACCTACAAGGCCTTCCCCTTCCCTCTTTCCCAAAGTGCAGCCTCTCCTACTAATAGGTGCAGATAACTTTCACCTCATTACCCCAACCAAAAGAGTCTCTTTGGGTCCACAGGGGGCACCAATAGCCCTCCAGCTAGGTTCAAATACAAGATCTCACTCCTCACCCATCAGGGCATCCACGGGAACGCTCCTTCATACCTCAAGGAACTACTCTCCTCACAAACCTCCAACCTCCATTCTACAACCAACCATCTACTCCCCCACCCCCAGGACCAAACTCCGCACCATAGGGGGGCTTTCTGTTCACCTGTGGAATTCCCTCCCAGACAAACTGAGGACTCCACAGACCACTGACTCCTTTAAGAAGGGCCTAAAATACGTTCTTTTTTTAAAGCCTTTTATTAAACTTGTGTTTCTTTAAAAAAAAAAAAAAAGGTATATTATGCCCCTTGTAGCACTTTGAGATTACTTTTAGCAATGAAAGGTGCTTTACAAATTAAATGCATCATTATTATTATTATCATTAGGTTGGACACTCCAAGGGCCCCCCCTATTCAGGAGCCATCGGATGCCCCCCAGAGTCTCTTCACCCCAACTGGAACCCCCGATGCCGAACTCAGTCGTCAGGTGGAAGAACTATGGCAGATAGGTGTCCTCCCCTTTCAGGAAGAGCAAGGCATCACCAGATCCAAGCGCCCCTCCAGTCCAGTGGACCCCCTTCCAGCAGCTCATTGACCGGGTCCTGCGTCCCACTCTCAGTATGCAGATATCCGGATGACTACATCGTTCAAAGTGAGATGTTGGGGCAGGTGAAGGCGGGGCTCGGAGCTAACCTGAAGAAGAGTGAGTTGGGGTATCTGGGGTCGATGGAGTCTCCTCTCTGGTGCCGGGATGGGTGGGAGGTGGTGGTAGGTAGCAGCAGGAGTATGTGCAACACATCTTTCTTCTCAAGAAAAGCTTTAAGTACAATGGATTGTTTTTGTTCATTTCATATTGAGGAGAGCTAACAGGAAGTCTCTCATCAGCTGCAGCCTTCTTCTTTATTTTCCAAAATGCCTCTGCGCTCCTCTTCACGTCTCAAACTCGCCCCGTGATGAAGAAACTGAGAACAAATCAAACCTGAGCTTGCAGATTTGTCTGGAACACCAGAAGCACGTGTTGAAACCTCAATAAATAAACTTCACACGGTACGACCTCTCACCTTTCTGTGTGTCTTCACTTCCTGTCACCTGAGAGGAGAGAGAGAGAGAATAATGATGATGATGATGAAACAAAGAGAAACAGCTCAAATGATGAAGAGAGAAAGAAGAGTGTTGTTTTCCTCTGAGGTCACGCTCCATTAAAGAGTTTCATATCTGGATGGATGGAGGATATGGTTTCAGTACTCACGGGTCTTCTGGATCGTGGCTCTGATCGTCTCACCCAGTCCATATCCAATGCTGTAGAGACGAACACAATCCAACAGTTTGAGATCCAGTTTAAAATAAGTGTTTGTTCTTTGAGTCAGCTTCAGAGTCCTGACCTCATGCTTTACATCCCATCATATCTCCTCTGCAAACACTACGACTGCCACAGCTCTCAGCTGCATGACAGGAAGTAACCAGTCATTGGTCGAGAACAGGGGGGTCCACACTTTTTTCACCGAGGGCCACATACAGAGAAATATATAACGCTCTGGGCCGCTCTCTAGAGGAATGTTGTCTCATAAGTTCAGTTATAAGTCAGGAAACTCACATGAAGGTGAAGGATGCTTGTTACTTGAAGATGCTTTAAGAAACAAAGAGCTCTCAGCTCTCCAGAGGGTTTACTTTATTCTGTCAGCAGCTCATTCCTTAAAGCAGGAGCTTCACATTGATTATAATTACAGGAAGTATGAAGGTTTATTTCACGCTTGTTATAACAATAAGTTATTGGGCTTTTTTCTTATCAAGTTAGATTTGTTAGGAAATGTTTTCAGCTTGAATTGACTGCATGTATTTTAAAGGTGGGCTCATTAACACATGAATACTACTGTGTAATATATGTGTACATATATATTTAAGAAGTACAAGACAAGCAGAAGTTTCATGTGTGGGCCGTATTTCATTATACTTTCAGAATTTGCTGAGGGCCGCATTTGGCCCCCGGGCCGCAGTTTGGACACCCCTGGTCTAGAAACTAAAAACATCCCATAAGAACAGACTACCTTTCCCGCTCTTCTGTAAAACCCCATATGTCTGATAGAGAGTTGATACTAAAGTGTGGCTTTGCATGTTCAGCTGGCCTTCTGTAGTTGATGGAAGAATGGAAGAGCCTGCAGTCAGTGGGTAACATCACTGATCTGTTTCCCCAGTGAGAGAAACACCTCCCTGAGTTTCATACAATACTGCTGAACCAGCAGAGACCCCTCACTGACCTGAGAGTCTCCAGTCTGCAGCCTGGACTCTGCAGAAGATCTCTCAGCAGCTTCTCTGAATCCTTCAGATCGTTGTATCTCAGGTACAGCTCTCTCAGATGGATGTTGGACTTCAGAGCTGAGGCCAGAGCAGAACAGCTGATCTCTGATAAACTGCAGTGCCTCAGACTGAATAAAGAAAACATGATGAGGATACAAATCAGTTTATAATCAGATGTTACTCCACATTGAAATGAATGGGAACAAAAACATATGTCTTCTTCAGAAAGTCCACTTTATCCTTTAAAACTAATATTACTTCAGATGAACTTTATTCAGACGTTATCGTTTACTAAATATTAAAAACATAGATTTACTTTTAACAACTAACATCTATCACAGTTCCTTTAAGAATCAGTCAACATGTATCTCTGCAGTTCTTACTTTAGTACCTACAAATGAAAGTATGAATACAATAACATTTACAACTGAATGGATGTAAGTTAATTACGTAGAAGAATCAGGTTGAATAACTAATGAAACATGAGATCTCCAGCAGTAACAGAGAGTCAGTGAACTGACCTGAGAGTCTCCAGTCTGCAGTCTGGACTCTCCAGAAGATCTCTCAGCAGCTCCACTCCTGAATCCTTCAGAGCGTTGTCACTCAGGTTCAGATCTCTCAGATGAGAGGGGTTGGACTTCAGAGCTGAGGCCAGAGCAGAACAGCTGATCTCTGACAAACTGCAGCCCCACAGTCTGAATAAAGAGAACATGATGTAACTTTAGAAAACAATGTTCCTGTTTGAAATCACTCCAGGTTTAATAATCCGTTCAGAGTTAAACAGCGTTTCAAAGGTCTCCTATCAGGCTATCTCTACGCATATATTATGGGTCTCAGATATATACAAATATATAAAAACATGTCTATGATGTGTTTTGCTCAAAATACCAAACAGATCATGAATTTTAGAAATCCCTCATATCCCTCTGTTCCAGCTGTTAGAGGAGAGCCGGTTCGGGTCCTTAGCTTGAACAACAAAAAAAGGAGGTGGAGCTAATGCCTGATCAGAATTCTACCAGCAGAAACTCAGCTAAATGCTGCCGTGATGAAACTCCATATCATGTTCCAAACAACATCAAGGATTCTCTCTGAAACAGGATGGAGCTCAAACTCTTTCTCTCTCAGGTTTACCACGAGGTGAGTTCCTTTTTACTTCCTGCTTCTTCACACACATGCTCTCTCCAGCACAGGTTAGCTCTGAGTGTTAGCATGCTAATGTAAACACAGACCATATTACTTCCAGAACACGTCTCATTGTTTCTGACAGCAACGTTTCTGATTGGCCCGTTGGTGTAAAGCCCGCCCACATTTTAGTAATGGCGTCATGACGCAGCAAATCTGGATCAGCTCCGTTGTTCCCCCGTTTTTAGAGATGTGGGTACGGAGGAAAGAGAGAGGGGTTTGTTTCCTGACACTTTGAGAGTCTCCTGACACCGGGGACACATGGTGATGTAGAGAAGACATCACAAAGTGACTTTTGCAAGATAGGAGACCTTTAACGTCAGAGATGATGTAGAAACAATCCACTGATGATCTGGAACTTTAACTTTGATCAGATGTTTAACAACTCCTTCATCTCCCTCACAGCTCATCAGTACTGACAGCATCTCCACTGACTCATGGAGCACAGAGTGAGTCAGTGGAAGCTCAAACACTCTCCCTCACACATTCACCTTCTCTTTGTTATTCTGATCAATATTCAGTCTTTAGCAAAAATGGAAAAATCATTGTAATGTATTTGTAACGGAGGTGATCTCTGGGGCCATAGATCTCGGCCTCCGTCACGGATTGTGTAGCTTTGTTGGTGGCGAAATGTAGGTAGTGTGTGCGTCTGTATGTGTTTTAGTTTGTCTGTCTCTGTTTGCTGGTTTCATGTTAAAAGTGTTCCCCTTCCTTGTCTGTGGCTGTTGATTGTGTGCACCTGGTGCCCTGCGTTGCCTCCCCCCCCCCACCTGTGTCTAATTGCTGATTAGTGTGTATTTAGGGTCTGTTGCCCTGTCTGTTTTGAGGCTGGGAGTGTGTGTGAGATCCCTGTGGTTGGTGACGGTGTGCACATGTTCGGCAGGATTGAGGCTGTGAATCTTTGTGTCACATGTTTATGAGGTAATAAATGCCCACACCGGCTTGTATTTTGGACGTTCTGCCTCTGTCTCCTTCCTTGGTAGGGCCGCTCAATTGTCAGCTTCACAGTATTTTTTTCAAATTCAGAAAATGATAAACACAAACAGATGAAGTTCAGTCAGTGAACTGACCTGAGAGCCTCCAGTCTGCAGTTTGGACTCTTCAGTCCAGAACTCAGCAGCTCCACTCCTGAATCCTGCAGATCGTTGAAACTCAGGTCCAGATCTCTCAGATGGGAGGGGTCAGACTTCAGAGCTGAGGCCACGACTTCACAGTGAGTCTCTGAGAGTCCACAGCGAGCAAGACTATAATAAAACATATATTACAACATGTGTTAAAAAAGAGGAAACATAATGACCTCAAGCATTTGATGAAAAACATATTTGACATGTTCTGATTGAGATTTGCTGTTAGTCCATTTTATATATAATAATATATGATAGAGTGTAATGTGCTGTCAGTGTGATCTGATCACAGGTCTGTGCTCCTGCTGTCACTGACTGTTACCAAAGAAACAGAAATTAAATAAATCACTTGACAATATTAGAGATGTACATATTTAAATGTTGATTAATATTTAGATGTGAATGATGGATGTTTTGTCTTCTCTGAGCATCTGGAAATGTATTGCGCACAAACACAGTTAACAAACCAATAAAGTTTCAATATTTTAAACTGAATACCATCAGATGTTCTCACTGTATGAGTATTAAGACATAACTCTGGTATTGGTGGGATATGATATAGATCTTATTTTAAACACATTGTGATAAAAACGTGTGTGTGTTGAATGATAAAGAAACTAGAAAGTAATAATAACTGATAACTGTAAGTCCTGCTGTGTGGTTTGATCACATGCTGAGAAACCTCTAAAGTCCTTCATGTGTTTGACATGTCGCCTCCATCACTCAACATGAAGAGAGAAACGCTTCAGTTTAACTATTATTATAAATAAATAGAAGAACAGTGTTGGTTTATTTTGCTCTCAGTATTTAAACAGCAGAAATGTTATAGTGTTTATTTGAATAATTAAACTCCTGATCCACATTAGTTTATAAAGTGAATCACATCTGGACTTACTTGGCCTTCCTGCAGTTCCTCACAGCTGGAATCAGTCTCCGTTTCCCCTCATCTGATGTTTTGTACTTGTTCAGATCCAACTCATCCAGAACCTCCTCTGACATCTGCAGCATGTAGGCCAGAGCAGAGCAGTGGATCACAGAGAGTTCCTTCTCTGATCTGTTCTCTGACTTCAGGAACTCTGTGATCTCCTGATGTACTGAGAGGTCCTTCATCTCTGTCAGACAGTGGAAGATGTTGATGCTCCTGTCAGGAGAGATGTCACCACTGTTCATCTCCTTCAGGTTGTTGATGGCTCTCTGGATGGTTTCTGGTCTGTTGTCTGTGCGACCCAGCAGGCCTCTGAAGAGTCTCTGGATGAATGTTAGTATGTTGTCTGTGCGACCCAGCTGGCCTCTGAGAGTCCTCTGGATGATGTTCTGTACTGTTGTCTGTGCGACCCAGCTGGCCTCTGGTGGCACTCTGGATGGTTTCTGGACTGTTGTCTGTGCGACCCAGCAGGCCTCTGACGGCTCTCTGGATGATTCCTGGTCTGTTGTCTGTGCGACCCAGCAGGCCTCCTAACAGTCTCTGGTTGGACTCCAGAGAGAGGCCGTGGAGAAAGCGGACAAACAGGTCCAGGTGGCCATTTTCACTTCTGAGGGATTTCGCCATGGCTCCCTTTAGGAAGACATCCAGGGATGGGTAATCATGATCACTGCTGTTGCTATAGTCTCCCTGCAGGAAGTCCTTCAGTACCGCTGTGTCTCTGTTGGTGTAACAGTGGAACATGTAGACTGCAGCCAGAAACTCCTGAATGCTCAGATGAACAAAGCAGTAGACTGTTTTCTCAAAGATCACACTCTCTCTTTTGAAGATCTGTGTACAAACTCCTGAGTGCACCAAGGCCTCTGTGACATCAAGACCACAGCGCTGCAGGTCTTCTTGGTAGAACATGATGTCTCCTTTCTCTAGCTGTTCAAACGCCAGCCTCCCCAGCTTCAGGAGAAGCTCCCTGTCAGCCTCCGTCAGCTGCTGTGGACTCGTCTCATGTCCCGCTTCATACTTCTGCTTCTTCCTCTTGGTCTGGACCAGCAGGAAGTGTGAGTACATGTCAGTGAGGGTCTGGGGCAGCTCTCCTCTCTGGTCTGTAGTCAACATGTGGTCCAGAACTGCAGCAGTGATCCAGCAGAAGACTGGGATCATGCACATGATGTGGAGGCTCCTGGAGCTCTTGATGTGAGAGATGATTCTGCTGGACAGGTCTTCATCACTCGATCTCCTCCTGAAGTACTCCTCCTTCTGGGCGTCAGTGAAGCCTCGTACTTCTGTTACCCTGTCCACGCACTCAGGAGGGATCTGATTGGCCGCTGCAGGTCTGGAAGTTATCCAGACGAGAGCCGAGGGAAGCAGCTTCCCCCTGATGAGGTTTGTCAGCAGCACGTTGACTGAGGACTGCTGTGAGACATCAGACACAACCTTCTTGTTTCTGAAGTCCAGAGAAAGTCTGCTTTCATCCAGGCCGTCAAAGATGAGCAGCACTTTGCAGACAGCCAGCTGCTCTGCTGTGACCTTCTGTAAGGTTGGATGGAAAACATGGAGCAGCCTGAGAAGACTGTACTGCTCACCTTTGATCAGGTTCAGCTCACTGAAGGAGAGCGGGATCACCAGACTGACATCTTGGTTTCCCAAACCCTCGGCCCAGTCCAGAGTGAACTTCTGCACTGAGAAGGTTTTTCCAACTCCAGCGACTCCGTTGGTCAGGACCGCTCTGATGAGAGTCTGTTGGTCAGGTAAGGCTCTAAAGATGTCCTGGCACTTGATTGGAGTGTCATGGAGGGTCTCTTTCTTGGAAGATGTCTCCAGCTGACTCACCTCATGTTGGGTATTAACCTCTTCACTCTGGCCTTGTGTGATGTAGAGCTCAGTGAAGATGCTGTTGAGGAGGGTTTTACTTTGATCAGTTCCTTCAGTCAAACGTTCACATCTCCTCCTCAGACTGAGCCTATGTTCATCTAAAACCTCCTGCAGACCACGTTCTGCTGGAAGAGAAGGAAACAGGAGAGAATCAGAAAATGCTTTTGAGAATATAACAATAAAACTAATAAAAACAGAATGAGTTTAAATGTTTTATAAACATTGTAATGTCTTTGTTCTTCAACAGAATACCTAATAAAAAAACAAATGAACCAGGAAGAGGAATAAGACGCTGCATGAGTTCGGCCTCTTACCTCGTACAGAGCTGGTCTGACTGGCTGTCTGCAGGCCAGCTCTGGTTCTGGGTCTTTCTCCACACTGGGGACAGGAGGGGTCTCCTGATGGAGGTCTCTGCTCCCAGTATGAGGTGATGCACTGTCTGCAGAACCAGTGTCCACAGCTGGTAGAGACTGGATCCTTCAGGACGTCCTGACACAGAGCACAGCTGGACAGCTGCTCCTCCACAGGAACACCACTCTTCCTCTTCCCTCTGTGGAGAGGAACACATCCTTTATAGCACTTTGCTTCAGAAGGGCTGATTCTCACCAAAGGTACAACAAGTGGGCACTTTCTAGTTTGATCTTTAAAAAAAGGTCTATATAATATACCCTTGTGATCAGGAAGATAGCTTACAGTTCACATGATCATAAAACCAGAGAGCCTCCTGTCTGGATTCATCACCCAGAGGAGCACATGTTCCCTGTATCTACACACACAGCTGTATTAACCTGGTTCACTATAAACCCAACTTAATGCTGCCCCACAATGCCTTGCAGCCGCAGCATTTGCCGTCACTCAACAGTCGGCCGTTCACGGAAACAACCGATTATGACCGAGAAATTATATCATGAAAGTTACAGTGCATTTTAAAACGTATGTGGTAAGCTGCCAAAGTGCTTTGTTCTGAACGTTCATCAGTATTATAATCAAAAAGAGAAATATGAACATTAGTTTTTACTGAAATGATCAAATAAAGTCAACATCTCACAGTCTTTACTGAGCTGTGTGGGGTTTGTTCAACTTTTAAAAGATGTTTGAATGGTGATGTACACAGTGATAGATGTTAAGGACTAACGTTTATAATAAATACATTTGTATTGATTTTAAGATCCATAGTTCATACAATCATACGTATTGGGATCATTTGTATTAATGTGGACCGGAGGGAGAGGGTGACGAGGACTAACGTTTATAATAAATCAAGGTCAAGGAATAGATGATAGGGTTAGAATTTAGGAGCTGATTTTTGGACTATTCGACTGCAGCCATGGTACTGACACCGGGGGTCAGTTTATTCGCCTGCAAGAAAAGGCGCTAGCGCGGGACCGTAGCAGGATGTGACGCATATTTTAGTTGACCTAATTAAAACCGTTTTGTTTTTTATTTATGTGTCACAGTATCACCTCAAAATACAAGATACGAAACATTTTCAACCGTGCAAGAAAATATAAATAGTCCTACAAATACTTTTATTTTATCTCCTTCTTATTTTTGTCTAAGCTCAAGGGAGCCAGAGCATGCGGCTCGAGGGCTGCGGGTTGCCGACCCCTGGCCTAGTGGTTAAAGCACGTTATTGCATTATTGTTTTTATGTGTTATATTTGATGAAAGAAATATTTAGAGTACATACTTTCATCGGAGGAAAGTAGAAGGTCAATGATAGAAATATAGAATATAAAAAATCAAGAAGATACTATAAGTGATCTCTACAATAAAACAGTTAAGTGCAGGATGCACAAAGATATTAATAGGAGGAGGTGCAAAACAGAAAAACGAATGAACCTTTATTTAAATAATACTTTAGATTAAGGTCTTCTTTTAAATAAGAAAAAAGCTTTGGGGGTATCTATCTACAGATAAATATTAAGCCTGACAAAGTACTTAACGTCTAATATATTGCTTTCCTGCAATGTTAACTTTGTTGAAGCACTTATTTTAACTGATATTATACATATCAATCAATCATCAATCAATGTTTATTTATATAGCCCAATATCACAAATGTTACATTTGTCTCAGTGGACTTTACAGTTTGTACAAAATATCAGTATGACAATACGACACCCTCTGTCCTTAGACCCTCACATCGTACAAGGAAAAACTTCCGAAGAAAACCCACAGTTTAAAGGGAAAAATGGGAGAAACCTCAGGGAGAGCAACAGAGGAGGGATCCCTCTCCCAGGACGGACAGACGTGCAATAGATGCCGTGTGTAAATTGAAAAGATAATACATTTGCAACATAGGTAGTCCAAATGTTTGGAAATGCATGTGTGTATAATAGGAAGATGAATCCACGAGGATATCCATCCAGGACCTATGATCCAGGAACACAGCCACGACTCAAGATCCAGGGCTCGCGATCCAGGACAGAGGAGCGCAGGATCATCCATGACTCCGGATCCCGGCGTATATAGACACCAAAAAGAAAGACATTTGGGGAAGCTGGGTTAATCGGAACATGAGAGTACACAGGTATAGACAGAGAGAAGGAAGAAGTAAGATGTCCCCCGACAAACTAAGCCTACATCAGCAAAACTAGGGGCTGAATCTAATCAGCCCTAACTATAAGCTTTATCAAAAAGGAAGGTCTTAAGCGCACTCTTAAAAACGGATAGGGTGTCTGCTGCCCGAACACAAACTGGAAGCTGATTCCACAAATGTGGAGCTTGATAAGAAAAAGCTCTGGCTCCCATTGTACTTTTAGAGACTCTAGGAACAACCAACAACCCTGCATTCTTGGAACGCAATGCCCTAGTAGGACAGTAGGGTATAATGAGTTCTTTAAGGTAAGATGGCGCCTGCCCATTAAGGGCTTTGTAGGCGAGAAGAATAATTTTAAATTATATCCTGTGTTCTATAGGGAGCCAGTGTAAGGCAGCCAGAACAGGAGTAATGTGGTCCCTTTTCCTAACTCTGGTTAGTACACGAGCCGCAGCATTTTGAATCAGCTGAAGCGACTTGACTGACTTCTTGGTACACCCTGATAATAAAGAGTTACAATAATCCAGCCTTGAAGTAACAAATGCATGGACTAGTTTCTCTGCATCGTTTTGAGGCAAGATATGCCTGATTTTTGCAATGTTACGTAGATGGAAGTAGGCGGTCCTTGAAATTGATTTTATGTGGGCGTTAAAGGATAAATCCTGATCAAATATAACACCAAGATTCCTTACAGTCTCACTGGAGGCCAAATTAATGCCATCCATAGTTAGTATATCCTTAGATAATTTGTTTCGTAGATTCTTCGGGCCAAGTACAATAACTTCAGTTTTGGTCGTGTTTAACATCAAAAAGTTTAAGGTCATCCACGTTGTTAAGTCCTTGAGGCAGTCTTGAATTTTATTTAGATGATTAATTTCATCAGGCTTGATTGATAAATATAGTTGAGTATCATCCGCATAACAATGAAAGTTTACAGAATGATTCCTTATAATATTGCCTAACGGAAGCATATATAATGTGAACAAAATAGGTCCGAGCACTGAGCCCTGTGGCACTCCATGGCTAACTTTGGTTTGCGTGGAAGATTCATCATTGACACGTACAAACTGAGAGCGTTCAGATAGATAGGACCTAAACAAGTCTAAAGCAGTTCCCTGTATGCCAACTAAGTGCTCTAGTCTTTGCAATAAGATATCATGGTCGATAGTATCAAATGCAGCACTGAGATCGAGCAAAACAAGAATAGAGACACGTCCCTTGTCAGAGGCTATTATAATGTCATTTGTGACTTTAACCAGAGCTGTCTCTGTGCCATGATGTGTTCTAAAGCCAGACTGAAAAGCTTCAAATAAATCATTGTTTTTTAAGTAATCACAACTGTTTTGCGACCGCTTTCTCAAGAATTTTTGAGAGGAACGGAAGATTGGAAATAGGTCTATAATTGGCTAAAACCTCTGGATCGAGGTTGTGCTTTTTAAGAAGCGGTTTTATCACTGCTACTTTGAATGATTGTGGAACATAGCCTGATAATAAAGACATATTCATAATATTTAATAAATAAGTGCTAATTAATGGAAAAACTTCCTTCAACAGCTTAGTTGGAATTGGGTCTAACATGCACGTTGATGGTTTAGAAGAGAGAATCATTGAATTTAATTGTTCAAGGTTTATGGCTGAAAAGCATTCTAGTTTACTATCTAGTGTAATATTAGAACTTACGTTTCCGGGAGCTGTTGATAACACTATACTGGTCAAAGGCAAGAGGTCATTAATTTTGTTTCTAAGAGTAACAATTTTATCGTTAAAAAAGCACATAAAATCATTACTACTGAGTGCTATGGAAATAGAAGGCTCAATCGAGCTGTGGCTTTCTGTCAGCCTGGCTACAGTGCTGAAAAGAAATCTTGCATTATTCTTATTCTCATCTATTAATGAAGAGTAGTAGGCTGCTCTCGCTTTACGCAGTGCTTTCTTATATTCATTGAGAGTAATATGCCAAATTAAACGAGATTCTTCAAGTTTAGTGGAACGCCATATCCTTTCAAGTTGTCTCGACTTTTGCTTTATTTTGCGGGTTTCGGCATTATGCCATGGAGCTAATCTATGTTGTTTTATTTTCTTCTTTTTCAAAGGAGCAACAGAGTCTAATTTTATTCGCAGCGCATCTGTAGCACTATCAACAACATGATCAATTTGGGGTGGTGTACATTTTGTATAAGTTTCCTCCCTTACATGCAGACATGCTATCGAGTTAAGTATTGGTGGAATCTCTTCCTTAAATGTGGCTATAGCACTAACAGATAGGTTTCTGCTGCAAGAGCTTTTGACTAATGCTTTGTAGTCTCGTAACAGTAGTTCAAAAGTTACTAAGAAATGGTGGGATAAAGCAGGATTATGCGGTTCGACTAATAGTTGCTCAATTTCAATACCATAAGTCAGAACAAGGTCGAGAGTGTGATTATAGCAGTGGGTTGGTTTATTTACACTGACAAAAACCAACAGAATCTAATATAGAGTTAAATGCAACAGTAAGGCTATTTTTATCGTCGTCAACATGAATATTAAAGTCACCTACGATAATTACTTTATCTGTTTTAAGAACCAAAGTTGATAAAAACTCAGAGAATTCAGATAAGAATTCTGAATAAGGACCTGGTGCACGGTACACTGTAACAAATAAGATTGGCTGCAAAGTTTTCCAGGTCGGATGCGTAAGACTAAAAACGAGACTTTCAAAGGAGGTATAATTTAATTTTGGTTTAGTATTGATAAGTAAACTTGAGTCAAAGATTGCTGCAACTCCACCTCCTCGGCCCGTGCCTCGGGCAATATGAGTATTGATATGGCTGGGTGGAGTGGCCTCATTTATGCTGACATATTCTTCATGTCTCAACCAAGTTTCAGTGAGACAGCATATATCAATATTATAATCTGATATTAAATCATTTACCAATATTGCTTTAGATGCTAGAGATCTTATGTTTAAGAGACCACATTTAATATTCCTGTTTTGTTGCACTGTAGTAGTTGTTACATTTACTTTTATTA